TGATTTCCATTCCAGATATACCTAGGTATATTATGAATACTCAAATCGATCTAAATCCGATAAATAATAAAAAATTGATATTTTAAAATTATTTAAAAAACCAGTGGCGTACTCCCTCAATAACTACGTCACTAGAGTATATTCTGGAATAAGTTATGCATGAAAAAATAGTCCCTATTAAAAAAAATTGTCATCCAACAAATTTTATCACTCAATCTTTTATGCCGGTGAAGTTACAGGAAAAATAATATAAATATTTGAAACTTTTGTATCTCCGTAGGGAAGCGTCCTATCAAAAATCAAAAATAAGGTAAAACCTTATTATTTTTATCGGTAGAATACGCCATTAAAGCTTGGCTAAACTTATAATTTACACCCTGTATATGCAACACTTGAAATTTTCAAATTTCGATTATTTATAGTAGTTATTATAAAATTCTGTATATCTAATGATCAATGGAAATTACAAGAAATATGGTAATGCATTATTCAAAAACGCTTTGTACCTAGCTTTTTTGCAATATTACACTTTTTATATTGTCATAAGTAAATGTTGAATTACATACAACTTATGAGTAGAGTTGTCAGAACTGAGCCGCGGGACCTAGGCGTACTCATTATTTTTTAAAAAGGAACACATTAAATTGTCTACAATACACCACCGTAAACACCAACGGATAGGAATTAATTATGCAACATCCGCACGATAACAAAGATTTTAGTTGTCCTTTGATGAATAATTCTGTGTAATGTTGAGTGTAGTTAGTGTTAAAAAACAATAAACAATTCATATTATACTGACTAAAAACAAATTTACTGGTAAGTAGCTATAAAATTATTAACATGTAAAAACTATTCAAGTTGTAGTATAACAACCCCGGGTTGGATAAAAAAAAAGAAAAATAACGTAGTTGTGGACAAAAATATGTGATCGTCATAAGGAATACCTACGTTGTGTGTATTTATTTTTTATTGACCGGAAGGCGCTGGCTACTAACTTTTTAGAGGGGATGTATGGTTTAATTTTATAAAACAAAAGCAGAGTAAATACACCTAACCTTTATTTACATACAATTCAAATTAAACATGTGACAAATAGAAAGAACAACAAAAACATTAACAACCATTTAACATAAAATGAGAGTGCCAGGCTCACCTAGAGCTCCTGTGGGGAAAGAGCATGGCAGAGAAACCCACGACCGTTGCTCTAACTACCCAAATATAAATACAAAATAACCGATAACAAAAGGCATAAATTAAGAACCTTTGCTAATGATAAATAAGACCTGACTTGACCGGATTAGACATACACACTTCCAAGTAAAACTGAAGAGGTTTGGTGTTAGTTAGCCGGCAGGGCCGGAAGGTACTGGAGTCCGATACGGGAGGCAATCCAGCTATGAGTTGAAATTTTGGAAGATCTGTTTTAGCAATTCTTTTTTTGTATTTAATTATTCTCTTTTTCAGATTCGTTCCTCACGGGCGGAAATGTTAGTAAATTCAACAAGGCTCTATACGTATGACATAAAGTGAGCACAAGAAACGCTTTATTATTTGTTTTTCGAACAATGTAATCATGACAAAACAAGTTAGATGTGAAACATAGGTGTTGCTATTGCAATATCTTGGCAGTCACGACAATATGTATATATTTCAACATGTAGTAAATGATGAGCAATCGTTAATAATAATTGTAACAATTTTACCTTAGAAAAATATATGCCCTTGAGCATAAAGCAATGGAGACTAAACATACAAAGAATTATTATCATGAAACACCTATAACCATCACAATCATAAGATTACATAGAACAATTAACAACAAAGTACTTAAAGAATAATTACCTGCTAATTTTAATACGGATTAAACACTTTAATTTTTCACTATTTTGCCACACTGCCCGCCGATCGTCTTACTCCCATCATCCACACTTTCTCCCTTCAACTATCTAGGCTTCCTTCCAGAAATCCCCACCCAAGCGTTAGTTTTTGCGCTTCCTTCTACCAACTGTTAATATTACGTTTTCATTATTATACAACACACATGTAACAGGTGACGTCGAAGTTGATACGATAAGTATGGTTTTGCACAAAGTGGAAAACAAAGCAGAGATATATTCTTTGGAATAGAAAAGAATTTTGTGAATGTAAAGGATCATAATGAGTTCTAAAAACACCTATTTAAGATGCTCCTTTCGTTTAAATGTTTGATTTTTTATTTTTTTATAAAATTAATAAAAATAGCAAGAACTAATAACATTATCAGTAATAGATTTGTCCGACAAAGCAGCACTCAACACGTGTTATTTCAACTGGTCAATTTGGTCATAGGGAAAGTTAAATAACGAACAATATTTTCTTTTACTAAAATAATATAAACAATAAAAACCAGAGGACTCAGTTTATGTTTAATTTAATATTCATACTCATTGCATGTAGCCTACCATTTAGTATAGGAAATAAAAAAGCATTTGATTCCTACTAGAATAAATACAACCCCGAATGGAAATTACCATGTTGGACCATCTTGAAAGTAGATTACTTAATTATTCAAATATTACACCAGTAGATGTCGAACGGTCGTTCTCATGAGATTAAGATATTTTATCACCGCCGCGAATAAATTTTGCTGAAACAAGGGTAGCACCTGATGATGCGATCTATAATGGATCCCATCCAGATTGTGAAACCTATGGCAACGATGCGTAAAATAATTTACGTGTTTCACAATGATACAATGACAAATCTTATAACCATTGTTCACTTCATTTTATGTTGATGATCCGCACGCCTTTGGTGCGCGGCCAATTATGACATCTCTACTTATGCGTATTACTGTGGAAACAATTAAAAACACATTTCGATATATTTAATTACACCATACACTAAATGCACATAAACTGGTACTTTATAGGAGATATTTAGTTTGCGCGGGAAATATAATGTTCAAAAGTTTTGTTTCAACGCGCTTGGAGACTCATACAGAGCCTTCATAAATGATTACAAGTCACGTGACCGCAGAGCTTAGGCAACCCAACATTGCATGACTCGGTACTGGTAACGAAAATTCCTTTATAGATTCGTTTATAATGAACAATGACAAACCGCTAGGTCTACGCTCGAGATAATGAGATCGCTGATTGGTTGAATAGAATCTCGTGAAAAATTACACCAATCACAGCCGGTGAAACAGAATGTTGTGTTTTAATGTAGTCTTGATCCTATTGTTTTAATCATTTTTAATTTTACCAAAATTTAATTGCCAACATGAAGCAAATAAAATTATTGATCGCGTGGCTTGTAACTATTTATAAAAGCTCTGTACAATCAACTCGTTATAAAGCAATTATATTTAATTAATTACCTAATATAAGTTTCACATAACAAACAGTATTATAAACGAACGTAATATTAAACACGTCGTGATCCTCAATCTAAGGCATTTTTTTCGTTGTCCCAATTCGGGGCAAAGTTCATTGGCGTCATGGATTTTTTTCACCATCATTATTGTTTGGGGTCTCATTTTCTGCATTTCACTTTCAATCTTCTGCCACAAGACCGATAAGAAAACGGTTTGTCACGATACTTAAACCAAATTAAATTTTATTTCTTCGGTAAATAAATGAGGTCACTCAATGTTTTTATACGCATCGCCTGATCTAAAACCTTGACGTGACTTGGGTCTTCAAGACATGTAAACCTTCCCCAACTACTGCGGAAGTGCGTGACACTTAACAGGAAGTCAACCCTTAAATGTGCATACGAAGCATATCTCCCAATAATAAAACGTAATATTTATTACGTTGTAACTTTCTTACTTTGTTATTATTACATTCAAGATTCAAGATATAAATATGTGACTGAGCCGCGATAAAGATGACCTCCGGGTGTTAGAATTATATTTTTAATTTGCGGTATCATTGATAATGATAAGCGGTGTCGACAGCGGCTGCTTATCTCCAGACGTAACTGGGTCAGCTAAAATCTTACGCAGAATTAGTCATCTTTCCAGATCCCTTCATATCAATGAAAGCAACATTTTTGAAGTTGGTGTAGGTACCGAACTTAAAATGATAAAAGCCGGATATTACACAAGTTCAAATTTCTGCCCTATTGTCTTGTCCTATTAATACTTCCTTTAGAACAGTGTACTAAACTTTTATTACAACAAGGCACTGTGGGTAAGGATAATTTGTTTCGTTGCACGCCAAATAAAAATCGCGACAAAATTATAGTGTTTATGAATGAATATAAATAAATGGCAAGTTGTCAAACTAATTACAGCACAAAATGAAAATAAAAAATGGCGTACAATACAAACGGCTATGCCATCTGGACAGTGGCCCAACAGACATTTAGTTTTTCTATTTTTTCAAATAAAAATAAATGATTCCTTCACCTTGAGAAATTAACATTCCCATTTTCTTTTCAATTGAAGTAAATTACAAATTACCCCATTTTTAGTAAAGAGGTATAGTATTTCCGAAGTCAGTTGAATATGCAAAAAAAACGTCTGATAATAAAATTAGTGAGTTTCATAGACGTATTATATGTTCATTTGGCCAAAAAAACTTTCGCAATTGTAATATGAATGATTGATAGAAGGTACCTGTAGTAAATTAAAATTGCCTGATTCACACCAAATTCCGCATTGTTGCACTGCACTGCTGGGCAATTTATCAGCCACTTGTCGTCTGCTGTGATTTATTGCCCAGTAGCCCCATGCAGCTGTAATCGTTTTCCTTTGCCCGCGCTCGCATTCTTCAACTGAGCGTATACATTTCTATCGCCTCCACGTTTAGTTCGACCAGACCTGTATATGGGTATGGCTAAATAAATATGGGAACAAGTTTTTCAAATATTTCAATGCCGAGTTGCTGCGTAGCGACCGAGCCTGGTACATATCTTGAAGTTATTGGTTCTTCAAAAAACTATAACAATAAAATTGTACACAAAAATAATCTTCGAGAACATTTGTTACGTCTCTGCTTTCTTTACAGGTTTAAGAGGGAAGACTCGGAAATAGACAATACGGGTAATGAAGACTCTGATGACTCAGCCGCTGCGGAGGAGGCTTTGCAGACAAGGTCTAAAAAGCCAATTAATAAAGGCAGGTGGAGCAAAGAAGAGGTGAGTGTCCTTCCCTTGCAAAAAGTTAACTATATTCGTATAAAAGTAAAAGTAATTTTAAAAACGTAAGATATATTAAGTCGATCTGGTTAAATATCTTTATTCTTTACACATACATAGGTACTGGGAAGCAGGATAATAATTTGGACAACAAAGGCTCGTAAATATTTAAAATTAGAGCAGGAAGGATATAATTTCAATAAAAGAATAGTACGTTGAGGATAATGTAATAATCAAATATATTGCGAAGCAAATTATAATATCTGTTTAATGTTATGATATTTGTGACGTGTGTTTGTATTCAGAACGATTTCAATTTAAACAGACAACTTGTATGAAAATTAATTCGGCTACTTACTATGCTCATGCAGTCGTCAGAAGTCCCGTCCGTATCATTTATCTTCTCGATTCTGGAACGCACTAAATGACGTCACGAATTAGTGCAGCACCAAACACCCATTTAAAATATTTATGTTTTATGAGGTAAATTATTTATAGACATTTATGCAAGTTATTATTGAAAGTGTACATTGTTCTGTATCTAAACTTTTGCTTCAGCTTAGGGTAGGATATTTGTACTTTCGACAGGGCGGTATGCAGCAGCGATGGTAATAAAGAAAAATAGTCAGACTCATATCATTTATTCGTGCTTTACAGGAGTATGTATAGAAACGCACACGATAGGAAATACTTAATATTTTCATAGAAAAGTAAAAATCCTACATGAGGAAGGTCTTTTAATTGGTAATAATTTAATAAATTTGGACTATTAGACATTTTACTGTTTTTTGGAATACATCCACTGTTTAGAGCTATTTCGTTTTTTTTTTATACTTATAGAGATAGATATCCGTACTTCATGGCACTGATAATAAATAATAATAGAGTTAATAAACACTACTTTTACCCGAATTAAAGCCATTGGATTATTTTATTTGGGGAACTCCGAGGGGAACTCGGATAATATTTACAGTACCAGTACAAACAAATTCGAAAAAAATTAAGACAAAGAAGTCAAAGATATTTATTGAGCTAATTACTGACTATGTTAATAGTAGAAAAAAATAAGAAATAACTTTTTCTGTGTGTTCAACAATGGGCTTTCCAAGTTCTTCCTGAAAAGCTGTTTAATTGTACATAAATCTTCGAATCAGAAGAATATGTAAGAAACGTTTATGATAAATTTTCTACTAATTTTATTATTTATATTTTTTTAAACTCAGTGGTCTACTTTTTTTAAATAAAAAAGGGCCTCTGCACCCCTGTTGCATACCGTTGACTGAAGTAATGGTGTAAAATTCTACCAACTGAAAGAATTCCTCTTCGTTTATGTTACACTAAATTTCATTCAAATATGTTGATTGATTCTTGAGATCTAATAAAATGTATTAACTTTCATCAAACTTTAACGAGACAAGTTTATGGAGCAAAGTACACTTACTTTTCAATTTTTTTACATTAAATTTTAGTGGATCATTAACATTCCTTCAGTTTTTTCTTTCATTTTCTTGTTCACATTATGATAAGTCATCATGTACCTGCCTCATCAGTATCGTATCAAACATTAGACTATACTTAAATTACTGTATGGTCAAATATGTGTAGTTATATAAAAATTTAGTCATTAAATATCGGTTTAGCAGATCAGAAGAAATTTTCTTTAAATATAGTTATGGTTTATACGAGGTCTGTTCAGAAAATAACCGAAAATTATTTTTTTAAACTTTATTATTAATTTTATACGTTATTGGTCCTTATATCTTTCGAAGGACATGTTAAGTTATTTTCTGGATAGACCTCGTATACTCCTAGATAATATAATTTAATTGACTTCAGAATACATGATCTTTTTAAAAGAAGTTATTGATTTTATACATACAATATATCTTGTTAAAAACAGTCAGACTGAAGCACAATTTTCATCAATTGAAACTACCAATTTTTTGTTATTAACACCACATGAGTTTTAAACGCTGAGTGTATTTGTTTACATGTTTAATGAACTACTTCCTAAGTTAATCATTTGAACAGTTAAGTACTGAATTTAGACACATTGTTTTATTTCTGGTTTATTAGACATATGTTTCTCGCCGTTTTCACTCAACAAAAATAATACTAAAAACGTGTAATATAACTTTCGAGTGAATTATTAAGGTAAAACACGTTTTCTTTCGTTTCCCACGCAAAACGTTTCTACCAAAATAAGTTGGCGTCGGCACACAAATATCGGTCCATTGTGTTCTCTTGTAACATGTAAATTAACCAGTTATTATTTGCCTGCCGAAGATGATAATAACCTTTGTATGATACATTCAATGGTCGGCAAATATTGCTGCGAACGATTTTACCAGAATGATGGTAGTTATGGGTACTTAACAAAACGAAACAAAAAAAAGCAATTACTGAACTTCTCAAATTATAACTACAAAAAGTGGGGACAACAATAATGGGAATAGAATTCGTTTACAGAAAAAAAAATATAGAAAACAAGGAAGAAAATACCTGAGGTGACAAATTTTGTTGTATATTTGAGAGATATAAAAAAAATGATTTCTTAAAATAACATTAAATTCGTATCTACGCTGTCATTGAGCAGCTCCCATATTGTATATACGCGCTTATCATTATTCCAGTTACCTTTTTAAACAAACTATGAAACTATCCGCGTAGCTGAGAGTGAAACTTCAAGTAATTTTGTAAAAACTTATTGTTTTTGTACGACTTTACGACATGTTATTTTTAATTCGCCATATTTTTTATGTTAATACGAATGAAACGCCGAACAAAAAGTTTATGTTTTATATATGAGTATATTATCCATATATGTTGCTAATTCTAGGTAAAACTAATCAATTTTTTTAATGTATTAATTTTTCAGTATGTTGTGTTTATGTGTCTTCATTGTTAAATATCCGTAATATGATTAAAAAAACTTCTGGTTACATTGGCCTGTTTCTATAGGTCCAAGATGGCCTCCGTATAAATATGACCCACATTCAAAGTTATGAATTTTATATAGGTACATAAAAAAGTTCGCCTTGATCCTGCTACATTTATTTAATTTTGTTTCATTTTTTCGTATGTACAAAATCATGAAAATGTTAGTTTGGACTGTAGCTTCTTTGCCTTTGAATATATCGGAAAAGTAAAATCATTCATTGCGATGAATTAATTTCAATCATTAAAAACAAAATTGAGCATCGCAATCTAAAGATATAAATACCAATTCTGTCTTTTTGTTAAAGCTGTTTTACATTGACAATTTATTGATCAATTAATTGATGAAGTCGCTTCATCAAGAAATTGGACAAGTGTAATGCACCAAATCTGCTGTCAAATAACTTCATGAATTTATTCATCAAGTTCTTGACGAATTAGAGCATGTTCTAATTTTCGTCAATTTCTTCGTGAAGTTCGGAAGTACCAACCCAACAGATTTCCACCCTCAGATCAGTAATGAGGTTATGTAAATAATTTGTGTGGCGTCGTACTAGTTTTGCATTGTTTTTACTGATTTGTTATTTACAAAAACTAATATTTATATAATATGTGTCAGAACGGTACCGCTGTTGTATCACTACAATTATGAGTGGAAAGGTGACATATTTGAAATTTATTTGTTTCTTTGATTCATTGGTAGAACTGATTCATACGTCAAAAATCTTCTGTCTGTAGCAGTGTAAAACCACACTGTTTACCAATAAATTCGTGAATTAATTCATGAAGAACTTCATCAATTTATTCATCAATAAATTGTCAATGTAAAACAGTTATTATGGAGCAACACATTGTACATTTTTACTTATTATGTTAGAGCGTTTCCTCAGCTAGTATTAAAATGATACAAGGTTTGATGACGCTCATTCTCATTGTAGCAACATTTAAACAACATACACCATAGATCTTTCAATAGAAACAACATAATATGTACGCCATTTACAGCATGCAACACACCAACCTGTTGCCTATTTGTTGATTGACTGTCATTGGGAACGTATTGAATTATGATATGATACGTATTGAATTATGATAGAACGTATGATATTAATAATTCCTATTACCGTTTTTTTTATCCTTGTTGGAGAGAGATCAGACTGTATTTTATCTGCGCATAGGCTGCCGCTTTCCGTGACTGGGTGGCTTAGGTGGAGAAATTATTATAAAACGGACTAAACTTACAGCATAACAACAGAACAGCGTAATGGTGGCTGGTGAGAAAAGTGAGAAATTGGCAGAATGCGCAGTAGTATGTCTTACCTTTTTTAAATCTGTGGTTTTAGGTATACAAACAAGCTTAAAATGTCAAAGAAGTACTACTGTGATTCGCATAAAGACTGCGCTGGTAAATTCTCATTCATTTTGAAACTGAAAATCTCTTTTTAAAAATCAATTGTAACTTGTAATATTATTTACAGAAAAACTGCATAATTTCTTGCTCCTTTCTTTAAATATTGTGTATTTAATTTGTTTGATATAACAATAACAACTATTTCTTTTAAAACAAAATTTACTATGGGCTAAATTAAAAAAAAAAACAATTATTTAAAAAAAAATTAAACGAAGAGGAAGTATTTTTTTTAGTGGAACGTTGTTAAACATTAAATGTTGCACTACTTTGTCCGTATAAGCGTTTCAGTATCTCTAATAATCTTGATTCCTGTAGTAATAATCATAAGCAAATTTTGTTTACCCCGTATATAAGTATAATCACTGCTTAAAAATTAGGAAAATATTTATTAAAAAATGCTGCTTGCCTAAATACTAAATAAGCGCAACTCGTATATTGGTCATTTTTTTATTTAGAAGGAAATTACGTTATTTCTAATTTCATCCAAAATTAAAAATAACATTTGTCAAGAAATATAGAAATTTATAGGCCAAATTCTAATGGCTTTAATTTATTTTGACTAAATTTAAATTTCCATGTCCAAATAAAGTAAATAAAAAAATAACGTCAGTTTGTGATTTTTTTATGGTGGCGCTTATTTACTTGAACTTACGTATATTTTAATTAGAGTACTTAAAGTATTATTAATGGAACTAACACCCATAGTAATAAAAGTTCTTAAATATTTGCCTAAAGAAATAAAATTGAATTTAATTAATATGTATAATTATTAAAAATTCTCTAAAAAAATTCGGCATATTTTTCGAAAACTAATTTATTTTCCCTAATATATCTAGTATTTTTTTCTATGCTCATATATAAAAGTTTCCTATTTGGTGCAAATTTTATGGCAGCCCCTGTATAAATTTTGAAATAATTATACTTTGTTAAATATTTACGTGGGAGATACTGACAAAATATTTAAGTATCGATGATTGAAAATGGAAAGTCACATCTTACATCTTCGCAAACTGGAAAATTAGTCAGGATCCAATGAAGTCTTGGTCGAATGACTCTAATGCATTGCGCTTACGGCATAATTCTTTTTATAATTTCTCACCTACTGTTAGACCCTTTAAATCGCTGTAATCCTGAGAAGGCGTTCTAATCGAATATGTATAAATATACAGGATGTTCCATAAGCAGAAATAGTTTCGAATACGGTGCTCGACTGTTTTATTCATAAAAAATGAATTCCCCCGTTGAAAATATTATTAATATACGAATAAAGAATGTTTTACTTTTCCGAAAGACGACAAAGCTGCGGACGAATCTTACTTAATGCGTAATTGTCTCATACAATATGAAATCGTTTCTCAATTCTGAATTTTACAACAGTCACATATATTTTTCCAATGCAGCATCCCATTTTTAGGACGCCAGGTTAAAACAGCTCGTCGAGGAGTATAATGAAAAGTGGGACATAATAGCTGAGCATTTTCCCGATCGATCTGACGTCCAATGTCAACAACGATGGACGAAAGTAGTCAACCCTGAACTTGTGAAAGGACCGTGGACCAAAGAGGTTTGTTCTAGACATTATATTGAATGTTTGTACAAATATTTCCCAATCTATGTATTTGTACATGATGGTATTTGCTTAGTAAAAAGACGTCAAAAACGTCGCAATCGTGTTTTTCAACTGCAAATTGTCACGTACATTGCATGTCAAATAGGGTATCTTTTATAAACAGGGTGTTTAGAACTTGGAGAGAATTTTAATGGTAAGAAGAATGCAATAAGCATAACAACTGTTTTTTTATGTGAGAAGACAGTTAGGAATGTGTTAATAAGTGTAAATAAGCATACTAAAATGGCCCATCAGTAGAGCAACAATTAATTAAGGGGCATGGTGGAGCACATGGAGCCGCTGATGAAAATTGTGAGTTAAATACAAATCTTTGTGTACAGCTTGTAAACATTTGTGAACAAAGCCAACCAAGCTATCGATGGTGGTCAGTAGATATAAAAAAAATTATCCTATTTGCAAAAAATATTTCTGCCAATCGAGTTTTCGCACCTCGGTTTACTTACTCTTCAATTATCCTCTCCAAGTTTGTGAACACCCTGTATATATTATTTATTCTAGGATTTAACAAGCATTTCTCCACTTTTTAATTTTGGAAAATAAAAAGAAGTAGAAAATATTGAATTTCAAATTATTAGATAAACACAATGGACTATTTTTTTACATGGGTGGGGGCAGGGGTGTGCACGGCCCACTCCAGAAAGCCCGATGCCCACCTCAGAAAATATCATCTTTTTCACATCGGAAAATCGCTGACTGCGCCAATTTATTTTAGAATCAAACGATAGAGTGCTTAGGTTTTGAAATATTATATCAGTAAGTCGTTGATTGCGCTTTTTTTAATTTGAGGCCTCCATAGCTTGCAGTCGCCTTGGGTCCACCCTAAGCAAAAATCCTAGCTACGCCCATGCTTGTTTAACAACCAGTTTAGACGTATCGGTGTAATATCACTTTTCTAAACTTACCCATAATAATACTAATAATAATAATATCTCTACCCCTCATTTTAATCGCAAGGATTAACCCAGAAGTCGGAGACTTGTGCGGTAAAGGGGGCGGCATATTATTATTCAGTGGGCCGCATGTGCGCCTAGGGACGACTCACGTTGGTCAGCTGTAACGACCATTTAGTGCAGGAATGAGGGAAACCTGGAAAACCTCATTAATTAGGGCTGTGGTCAAACGCCGACCGGTATCAATCTCTCACATTGACCCAAGCCAACGTTCTTGCACCCTACAATACCCGCAAAAATCAGCCCATTAATTCACCAAGTTGACGTTGCTCCGTGTTAATCTGGGCGAATTAGACCAAACGCATGCCTGTTTCAAAAATCGAGCCTAACCGAATTTTATGGGTTTAAAATTAAGTAAAAAATACATCGAATAAAAGCCTAAATTTGTGTATTTGTAGAGGTCTAGCGTCATATTGTTTATAACAAAAGGAAAAAAATAATTGCTCTTTTTTCAGTTTTTCGCTTATATCTCCGAAAATAAGCCTCTAATCGTCATGGGTATACTTATCGATTTTGTTCCTGAGGAAATTTGCTACAAACATAGGCTTTCGCGAAAGCTCGCAAAAATTTTTTTACATTGCAAAATTAGCGGTGCAAAAATGGGCAAAATTTTCAGCATTAAATAAAAAGAACGAATTAGGCTGAAATTTGATGAAACTACAGGAAAAGATAACTATTAGGGTGCTCAACAAATACCCGCAATCCGGACTCCCAATTTCCAAATGGCGGCCTACTGCAAAATTATAAAGTCGAAAATGCGAGCGCGTATATTTTCAAGTCCCGTACCGTAAAAGGATCGAATACGCTGAATATTTGTTTTCTTTTCATGACAGACTCGGAGATATGACACGTTTGTATAATTGATGCCGGAAAAAAAATTGTTAAGACAAATATCTACTACAGAGATCAGGAATCAGGAATCAGGAAATGTTTTTTCCGCAACAAAGAAAACTCGGAGAAATGACATGTTAACCCGGAGCCCGGAGATGTACCGTCAAAACCCGAAAACTCCAGGTCAAAGCCGGAGATCTGGCAACCCTAGCAGTGGCTATGCTGCGTCCGACTTCTCAAAATTCTTATTTATCAAATGGATTGTGGCACTTAGAAAGACGCTACCGGGATGCTTTTTTAAATCAACTTATTTTTTGCGCTCTTTCGAATTGTGTAAGCAAAAGTCTGCGAAAGTCATCTTCATACCCCAAAAAATACATTTTTATTGACTTTTCTCGGTTTCATTTGTAATTTCATTATGCTTTCGATATTGTGAAAAGTAAGTATTTATTTAAAAACTAAAGTAGGTATACCTCATGTCGATTAGAGGCTTATTTTCGGAGATATAATCGAAACACTGAAAAAAGAGAAATTATTATTTTTTCTTTTGTTATAAGGAATATGACGCTCGATCTGTACACAAATTTAGGCTTTTATTCTGTGTATTTTTTATTTAATTTTAAGCCCATAAAATTTGAATTCACCCGGGCTATGTGTGATACGAGTATTTCTGGACATGGGAGGGGAGAAGATCAAGGGGTGTATTTTGAAATTCGTATTTTAACTTGATATTTTATGTCTTGTCACTTCTAAGACCTACAGGACAATGATTCCTCAAAATTTAATCAAGACGTTTATGGAATAAAGATATTTTTTGCACATTTATCTTAAGAACTGTTGTACCACTTTTTTTCACAAAATAATCAAAAAATCATGTAATCACTAAGTGTTACATGTGATCAGCAAATATCTCGGAAATATAAAGAAAACAACCCTATTCGTTGTTTATTCCATGGAGCGCTTTGTAAAACACCCACAGTCCAACATCGTCTCTGACTTCCCGACCCTCCTTTCCAATGGCTGGCCAAGACGAACCCCAACCGCCGATATCGTCCATCCAATGTTTCGCGATAGCGATTTTCCCTTAATGTCTCCTCTCCCCTTTATGTCGGACTCGTCGGAGCGTAGAGTTGACAAAAAGACAAAAGGCCGAGAAACCCTTCTGTTACCAGTTTCTCACCACGTTCCTTCCTCTACGCGCAGGGCATTGCCCCTTCTCGGCTTACCTAGGAGGTCCACGTATGCGAGGTGCCATTAAGGCACTATGCAGGTCGCGCAGCGCGTGAACTATAAATATTTATTGATTTTGTTAACGATTGGGTGAGTGGCGCAAAACGGCCGCGTAGGCGGTACGGTCAGGCTATTTTTAAAGAGGTGCACCTATTCAAAACAGTCGGAGAAAGAATATCCATTGATGGTTTATGACTTACCTTACCTTTTGTCATTGCAAAAATATTTTACATATATGTAAAATAGTAGAGGCTAAATATTATAGTTTAATGAAACTTTACCTGTTCTGTGTTGCCAATACATATATGCCATAATTTCCGTCTTTCTCTCAAGTGACGTCATCACGTGCGCATAGACACCGTATTATATTGTTAGTGTAGCTGATAAAGAGAGATCCAGAATGATTGATGACGCCGCTACTTACAAATATTTTCTATGCCGCTCTCCTATTATTTTCACTCTTTGTAGTTGGCAACGTTGACAGTGGCGTTCAATGGCGGGTTAAGTGCAGTGGCAATAGGGTCACATATTCATTTTAATCGCAAAAATACAACACAAAAAGCAGTGTTTTAATTAATTAATTTGAGGGGTTTATTAATTTGTTAAAATAATGAATTAAATAAAAATTTAGAAACGTCGAACATGCTGAGCAAAACTGTTATAATCTGTGGCTTCATGATTTGGAAACTCTTCCTGGAATAGCAAAAAACATGAATTGATTGAATAATTCCATCCATTTTCATCTCGTTGGCCACTCCGAAAGTAGACCTCTACAATAAATTTATCGTCTTCTAAAGAAAAAAACCATTTTCTAACCTAAAACAATTCGAGTACCTACTTTGAACTAGCAGTATTTGCTCTCTTATCACAAAACTAACAATTAACAGAAATAAACAGATGATTAGCGTTGACAAACACTCATTAGCACAAATAAATACAACAGCAAGCACGGTCGTCTCTGAACTGACAGATCGTGTCGGTCGGAAATCTAAGAAAACGGAAAGTAATTTTGATTAAATGGAAGCAAATTTTAATATCTTTGGTAACATTTACGCGTGACGTCAACTTCAATTATTATGGATCGTTCGGTATTGTACAATGGCTACAGATAAAATAAAATAAAACTTAATTAGACAGCGTGGCGCGACATGTTTCATAAAAGAGAAAGTCCGTCAAAAAATTTAGAGTTGAATGACTTCCAACTTTGATAGTTATACTCGTATGCTAAATGTGTCCCCCTCCCCCAACAGATTTATGGGAGAGACAAGCTTTTGCCTATGCGTCTATAAGACAAGGATAAAATGCGTCATCGAAATTCTAAACCAGTGGTGCCACTTGTTCAGAAATTTCCATCAATAGTTCACTATTTCACTATATAGACATACGTTTTGCTGCGTGTTATGGCTATAAAACAATAAAAGGTAATTTAATAAACTAATAAACTTACGTGATTATACAGGGCGTATTTAAATAAAAAAGCACAAAAACTACTGGATAGTCTTAAATTTAAAACGTAATAATTGGGCCCAACATATCTCCAAAGCTTCAAATTTAAAGTTGGCATCAATATAACAGTATAACCCACTATGTGTAGCTCCAATGACTTGCTACTGTCAACCAAAACCCATTTGAAAATTAAAGTGTTACGCCATTGCCCAAAGTTAAAATTACTTCGGGAAGTCGGGAAATATAAAGAATTGTAATTGTATATTTTTGCAACTCTTATACAAAATGTAATAATTAAATTTCTTAAAACCTACTTACATGATTGATTACAAATAATGTCAACTTACAGAAAAACTGTAACTTTTGGTAGAGAAAGTTGACAGTGTTTTTTTAGCAAATTGGTTATATAATTCAATAGAATATGTAGTTTGGGTCAATGGCGTAGGGTCTTTTATTTTGAAAAGGGCTCTGTCATTT